CCAACTTTGCAAATTCGATTCTCTCTAACCACAAGGGTGTTTGAGAAGTTCTTGGACAATTTGGAAAGCTTGGAATGTGTACTACAATCCATCTTTGTAATGCAAATTGAAACTACAAGTGGAACCATGTGAAAATTGGCCAAGAAGTTGGACAAAAATCCTGCCTAGAATAGGTCAAATTTTCTCTAAGTTAAAAATGTTTTGCACCCTTGTTCCAAAAATCATAACTTGAGATACAAACTTAATTTGAGAAAACTTTGTGAATAAAAGTTGTAGATTTTGCAATGTACTACAACTTTCATGTTTCAAGTTTTGTTTGAATCCAATTGCATCTTGGTAAAAAAAATGGGACAAAGTTAGGAAAAAATAAGGAAATTTCATAACTTAGAAAAATTCTAAGTTATGAAATTTCTTCATTTTAAACCCTAATTTGCAATTTTGGGTTTCTTGATGAACAAGTTTCATAATTTGACATGTATTGATGAAAAATGAATCTTGGCACTTGATTTTGACTAAAAAGTCAAAGTTTGACTTTTCAGTATACAGTCAAATTTTGATCAGTTGACTAGAAAATTCATCTGTCAATCCTATGCATTTGAGATCTTTTGAACTTGTTGAATGGGTCAATACAATGCCATTGAGTCCTTGAGTCCATATGTGAGCTTTATTTGCCATTGGTTAGGTCAAACAGTCAAAAATTGCCTTTGTGCAGTCAAAACCCTAAAAATGACCATTTTGCCCTTTTGGTGATCTGATCAAATTTCTTGTGGAATTGTGATCCAAACTTGACCAAATGGTTCATGTGAGTTCATTATGTTGAAGTGGGTCAAATTTCATGAAGTTGACTGTCAATTGGCCACAGTTGACTTTTTCCCAATACAACTGATTTCTAGGTCAACTGTCCAATTGACTGGGCAAAGATTGGAATCAAGGCTTGAAACTTGGTATGGATAAACTTGTAAGTCCAACATGAAGCATGAAAGTCACTTTGGGCCTTTTAGGTCAAAACATCCCTGTGCAAACTCAAACCCTAATTTGGGTCAACAGTGCAAGGAGGGGCCTCGAGCAGAGCAAACCCTAACTTGATCTTGAGTTCCAAGAGTCTTGTGATGAGAAAATGTTGATGAAATGAGAGGGCAAATTTTGGGGTACAACAACTTGTATGTAGCTTCATGCCAAACTCTTCTGCGCAATATTTACTCGAACGACGCTTCAAGAATTTTCCAATATCACCAGTTCTTCTTCAAGCCTTTGTCTATAGCAATAAACCCTTTAATTTTATCGATTCATTGAGCGGTGAATTGTCTGAAGATTTGAGAAGCACTCCACCTTATATGTAGCCTTCCACGCAACCACTACTAAGGAATCTATAGTGAAGATTCTACTTCTTTTCACTGGAATTTGTCAACAACACTGACTACTCCTCAATCTTGCAACGACCTACAAAATATTTAACAAATTTACAAGAATAGTTAGTTTCAATATAATGTCTACCTTAATCAATAATAGTTGAAGAAGAAAAAGAATCAAGTGCAAGAACTTTGAACTTTTCAAAGTGAGAGGGTTAATTTTATAGAAAATCATGAAATGAATATGAAGTTCCACTCATGAAAAAGTGTTGAGAAAAGGTTTTATATATGCTTGAGTTCAAGCACAAATATGAATGGTAAAAGTTTGTTAGATTCAAATAAAGAACAATGCATGTATTGGGTTAAGTGATCAAGTGAATTGAATAAAAATAATATTGATTTTTAACACATTTTTCACTTGATTCAAAACAAGTACAATGTATGATTTGAATCAAAGACCATGTGATTTAAATCATGTATACACTGTAATATTAATCAACTGCTCCAGACCCTTAACAAAATTGCTGGAAAAAGTGTGTGATTCGAATAATGTGCAAAATGTGATTCGAATCAAATTAAGAAGAGGTGGTGGAAAACTACTTTGATTTGGATCATGTACAAAACCTTATTCTAATCAAATTGTTTGGAAAACTTTTTGTTCAATCATGTTCAATTTGATTAGAATCATAATGAGTGTGTACATTGTTTTATTCGATCAAACACTCAACAACTCAATTTTTCATGATTCAAAAGGTACTTTGAGATTTTTATTTGTATCTAACTTGAATCAAACACATATTGTTTTTATTTCACAAACTTATGCAATTGACTAAAAACATCTTGATTAAATTCAAACGTAAACATTGTTTTATGCATTCTAAAATGATAACTAATAGATTTCAAACTTGATTCAAAAGATGTGCAATCATGAGGGAGACTCAACAAACGATAATGGACGAAAGCGATAAGACAAGCAATAAAATACCATATTGGGTATGCGCCATCAACATATGATAATGACATGTAACGATCAACTTCTTTGCTTCATCAATTGCGCATCAATCTTCAAGGTAGTACTCATAGTCAAAATTCTTTGCAGATGTTTATTAGCATCTTCATTGACCTTTCAGGTGAAAGATCTCCTCTCAAGTTGAGTAATTGTGCTTGGATGCAGTTGAAAATTTGGAACATTCATCGGTTGGTTTACAATTGTCAACCTACCACCCGATGCATTTTCCCTACCATAGTCACCAAGGAGTCTCTCAGGTGCTGGTGGATCTTCAGCCATAGTTTCTGGTTCTTCTTCTGACTTTGAATGAACTGAGATATATTCTTCTGCGGATTTCAGTTTGGCTTATAGAGCTTGTCTACACCTTGCGTGAAAAGTTCATTCGATTTCTGCGTCAAAAGGAAATTCAACTAAGGGATCTCATCGCATAAAAATATTAGAGACAAATTAGTAACAAAAAATAAATAAATTAAAATAACATAAATTAAATTTCAATTGCAAAGCAACAAAATTTCAATTGAACCCAAATTAAAACTCTATATTTTGTCAGTCCCCGACAACGGCGTCAAAAACTTGATCGAAAAAAAAAACAATTTAATATTTTTCCTATGCAGTAATAAGGAGGAAATTCCCCGAATATCGATCTCAAAGATTGCGTATAAATATCGAGTTTCAATTATTGTTCAATTAAAGATAAACTAATATTTGGGTTCGTTTTGTTAACCTTAAAATTACTGACAAATAAAAGTAAATAGGAAATAAGATTGGATTTGATAAATAGGAGTAACATACTAAGGTAAAGTGTATGATTGTTCATGCAATAACCTTGAAACCTTATTTTGACAACATATTTCAAATAATCAATTACCGGTTCTTTAGTTTATTTTCTTCTAAATCCTTAGTGGAAAAACCTTTGATCGTTCATCCTAAATTTTAAGTTCCTAGAATTTAATGATGAAATCAAGTAATGTATATGATCAAGAATATATGGTTGCTATAGGGTATCACTAGTCCTAGGTGATATCTACTATATCATAATCTCATAAAAGCATTAACAATAGTGGTCCAGCCTAATTGTTAATCATAAAAACAATCCCTGTTTGTCAGACAGAGAAGGCACTAGAAACATTATAAGATTAAATCGATAATGAAAATCTACAATAATATTGTAAATAAAGAGTCATGGTCATTACAATCCTAAATCAGGGACACCCCCTAGCATTGAGGGATTTAGCTACTCATAGAGTACAAATAACACATAATATAAAATTGAGACATTACAAGTATTTGGATGAGTTTGAATCTTCAATCGTTCTCGTTCATGAAGATTTGCACCCTTGAATTCTCTAATATTCCTTTTGGTCATCTTTTATCGCTTTGTCAAAAGTCCTCTGGTTTATCGTGAAAACTCCTCTAAATAGCAAAAATCCACTGAAACTAGTTGAAAATGCCCAAAACACCCTTATAGACCAACACTTGGGAAAAATAAAAGAAAGTAATGAAATCAACGTCACAATTTTCTATGGCCCGTAGCAGATGCTACGGGTGCCCGTAGCTGTCTTTTGCTTTTCACCGTCAACAATTTCTAGTCCTAGACCTCCTGCTACGGTCAGACGCTACGGGCGCTCGTAGTGCACAACAGGCAACTTTACTTTTTTGACAGCTTGAAGTGTGTCATCTCTGCTACGGTCCGTAGCAGGTGCGACGGGTGGCCGTAGCAGGCCTCCCGTAGCTTGAACTTGAAATTCCTCTGATTCTCAATATCTCCCACGTTTTCGCACCAAGTTTTCTTGCATCTTTTACTTGAACCTGAAAACATCAAAGACACAACTCAAACATAAAATACGAAAAATTGAAATAAAGCACTTGAAAATAACAAGAAGATTAACTAAAATTACTGGTAAATAAAGGTGCAAAAACAATTGATCAATGTTGATTGGGGTGACAATCCCAATGGTCGCACGTCTACGTCTACGTACTTTATATTTTTTGGGGGTAATCCTATCTCACGGCTCTCCAAGAAGCAATGCACAATAACTTGCTCATCCACAAAATCAGAATAGCGTGTGGTTGCTATGACTACCACTGAAATCATGTGGCTCACCAACCTTATTTTAGAATTGCGCATTATGATATCTCAACCACCTAAGCTTTTATGTGATAATGCCGGAGCCACGTATGTTTGTTCTAATTCAATTCTACATTAAAAAATGAAACATATATTTATGGACTATCGTTTTGTTGGAGAACAAATTCAGACCAGAAAATTTTCAATTAATCATGTGTCCACAAAGAATCAAATTGTCGTCGACCTTCTCACAAAGCCATTACCAATACCACGGTTTCAAGAACTTACAAGCAAGATGAAGGCCATTGAAGGTACCTTCATCTTGAGGGGGCGTATTAGACCACAAACAAATCACAAGTATTCCTATAATTTGTTGCAATCTTGTACCATTATATGTGCATATATCCAAATGTAACATTTGGTTACTTATTTACAATATTTTATTTTTATTTATCGTAATTATTATTGTATTTATTTTCATCAATTATTTCCTTTCATAGACACATACGTTTGTTTTATATATGTAAAGACATTGCTGTCAAATAAAACTAAGTTTTAAAATATAGTATCTCTCTTATACTGCGAGGCATGGTAACAAATTTTGAATCCACTCTTTCCAATTCTCTAAGTTGATTGTAAGTACTCCAAGTTTGCATGCCATATGAATCAGAAATGGAGTGATACTAATCAAAGTGGTAGAAAGCGTTAAGATGGGAGAATGTATGTAAATGATTACTAGCTGGAAGGGAAGTGGGACCGAGTGTGGGAAGTGGCTGTCTGCCCACGCCGGTTTGTTTGTTGGATGCATCTCTTCACTCTCGTTCCCCAATAAACAACTTTTATTTACTCGTGCTTGATGATGTAGGGTAAAAGCCAAAAACAATGTACCCTCCATGTTTAACCATCAATCACATTCTAGTAACAACATGTGCAGTCCGTTCCGTTGAAGAAAAGTGTGGTTTCATTTCCATTTCCATTCCATCCATGTTACTGGTTGGAGGAGGTAGAAAGAAGAAAGTGGCACGGTGGACGATGAGAATGTTTTTCTCTTTATTCCCATAACGGCGGCAGCACACGCCGAAAGGTATACACGCGTTGGCAATGGTCCCCATTACACATACTGTGTGAGTTTCGCCGCACCACCTCACCTCTTTCTGCTCGGTCCCTCATTTTGGCCAGCCCTCTATGCTTAAACAAATTATTATAATCCCATTTTGTCTGTAAAGTGAATTGGTGGTGGGTGGTGGGTGGTGGCTGATTTCCATATCTATATACTATATACTTATGAGTATAACTTTAACATTATAACTTGTTTAAAAGTTTGTATGTGTAATAAATAAATAAAATTGGTCCCTACACATATTTTTTTATTTTATTTTAATTCTTGTAAGATAATTTTGTTTTGTTGTAATTCTTATAAATATTTTTTATTTTATTTTTTATTTTTATTTTTTTATTCTTTTTTTTCTTTTTCATTCTTCACTTGAATGAACCAACCAATCTTAATTACAAGATGATTCTTTCCGGCAATTAACAATGAAAGAAAAAGAAAGATAATTGGGAAAAAGAAGATTAGGGTTTCACAAAAGGAAGAATAAAATATTTTTCTGCAGAGTTTCTCTATGCTCACAACCTGTGAATATTATTTACAACTGCAAGTGATTACAACAATAAGGATTACTCCCTATTTATAGTTTTAGGTTTGCTTGCTCCCTAAGTCAAAGTCCAAAACACGAAAGCCCAAAATATCTATTTTTGTTAACTACAAAAAATAGGCCTAAGTCAAAATCTCTGTCGAGGGACACTCCTTCGACATTTCGACAAATCGACACACACTAGGTTATTTTTGACACAACCTTGTTTTTATCGAGCAACCTGCTTCGACACAAGGAATTACAATCTCAACATATCACCTAATTCATTGTGTCTAAGCTATCTACATCATAGATCTTAATTTCTTGAACACTTCGATCTGCACTTCTTTCTTCATGATGTCTGAAATCTGATTCTTTGTTATGCAGTGTTTCAAGTTTAGCTTCACTTTTGATACATGCACTCTAAGAGAATGGAACACCATTTCGACGTGCTTGCATCGACCACGTGCTACCAGATTCTTTGCCAAATTGATAATTGACATGTTGTCGATCTTCATGGTAATTGCTCCATGATCCTTTTCTATGATCACTTCGACCTAGTTCACCATCCATGTTGCTTGACATGGACAAAGAGAAACAACTATGTATTCTGCTTCACATGAAGATAGTGCCACTACTGGTTCTTTTCTCGAACTCCAAACAATTAATGCACCATCTAGCATAAACACATTACCGACTATGGATTTTTTATCCTCAGCATCACTACACCAACTTGAGTCGGTGTAACCCACTAGATTGCATTTTTTCCTTCATCAGTTGTAGGAAACAAAATGCCACAGTCAATAGTTCCTTTAAGATACCTTAGTATCCTCTTCGTCATTGGAAGATGTGATACCTTTGGCTTCTACATGACTCTACTCACCATACCGACATTTTATGTTAGGTCAAGCCTTATGTGACAAAGATACCTTAATGACCTAATAAGTCTTTTGTATTATGCAACCTATTGAGGTTTTTTTAAGTCCATACAGGGCTTTATGAAGCCTATACACCTTTCTTTCTTCGCCTTGTTTCACAAATACAACTGGTTGTGCAACATAAACTTCTTTGTCTAAGGGGACATTCAAGAATGCACATTTCACATCCTTTTGCTATATGTGCCAATTGTTCGTGTTATCTACACCAACAACCAACTAGATTCTTTTGATCCTAACAACAAGTGCAAAAACTTCATCGAAGACGATTCCTTCTTTCTAAAGAAATCCTTTTACCCCAAGTCTTGTCTTGTGTCGAGTTACCTCTTCTTTGGGATTCAATTTCACCTTGTATACCCTATTCACATTGATTTCCTTCTTGCCTTGAGGAAATTCGACAAGTTTCCAAGTGTTATTGACTTCGATGGACTTCAGTTCCTCATTCATTACTTTTATCCACTTTGAAGCCTTCAATGCCTCAATTAAATTGATTAGTTCAACATCTGCATATAAATCATAGTGTACCAGATCACCTTCATTATCAGCCACATCATCTGATGTAATAACACATTCCTACAACTTTGCAGGCACGTGTCTCATTCTTTGAGGTATGCTTGGGCCTGCTTCACCTTTAACTTCTTCTTGTTGAACTTCTTCTCTTTCGACTTTAGTGGTTGGTTCTTCACATAAGATTCTCATTGAATCCTTATTTACATTTTCAGTCCAATCCCATTCCTTAATCTCATATATGATTAGGTTCCTTATTATCACTACTTGCTTGTTCACTAGGTCGAACAACTTGTATCCACCAGTCGAATGATATCCTATTAGGATCATCTGACTCAGCTTGTCATTAAGTTTTCTTCTCAATTGATCTGACACATATTTATGTGATATCAATCTAAATACCTTCAGATGACTTAATCTATTTGATACTAGACCAACATTCTTATGGCGTGATTCCTTCTAGCTTCATCATCAAAAATCTGTTCAAGATATATGTTATAGTTGACACAGCTTCGTCCTAAAACTCTTTAGATAAATGCTTTCCTTTCAACGTACTTCTCACCATATTCATGATGGTTCAATTCATCCTTTCAGTAGTTCCATTTTGTTGTAGTGGAGTGTAGGGTGGGACCACCTCATGCATAATCCATTCTTTCTCACATAACATGTCGAAGTCTTTCGACACACATCTCCACCACCATCAAGAGAACGCTTTAGGGATCAATTAGAACTTGTTTAATTTTCAAAAAGAGTTTCTTGATTCAAATGGGAGAGCGAGAGAAAAATCCTACGGTTAAGGAGCGTGACTTTATTCAAAACCAAGAGAGTGTGAAGTATTGTCTTTAAATTAACATTTTCTACGAAATACATCTTTAGTATAATTAAAAGCCAATGAGTTACAGAGTCCCTGAGGCACATGAAATCACATTTCCGCCTCTCTTTTATTATATATTTATTTAATATTATTTTAGTCTTTATTTTAATATTAGTTTCCTCTTAATCAATCATTCATTATCCTTAGCTTTACAAAGCGATAATAGATTATAGTAAGTTGACATTGGTCTTTGTGGGTTCGACAATCTTTTTTATTACTTTGATATTTTCGTGCACTTACGGAAAAATCAGTGTACTTGCTAAAAGTATAATATGTGACAACTTCTAGTAGTTAAGAGATGCCAGAGACTTTTAGGGTTTGTTGTAAAGTTTGGAGGTAACTCACTTAGGGAGATGAGAAACTCTATATATGTGGTATCTGCGTAAAATGAGATTGGGTCATCTCAACCTCAAGGTTGAGGAATTTATAGCAATTCCTAGGCCCGAGTCTCAAACTCCCAGAAAGTAGAAACCGCTTTCAAGAGAGCATGATAATGGGGAAGTTAATTCCCTATGATCTAGGAAAGTCTGGTTAGTTTCCCCATATCTGCATTGTTTGTGCTAAGGACATGTTATTTCCCATGTTCTCATGTTTAAGGTGATATTTCGAATAAGTGGGCAACATATTTTGAGGAAGGGGCATCGCATCTAGTAACAGGTGATTGTTCTAGTAAACAGGCAATCACAAAGATGTTATGAGTGGGGCGTTACAACATTTACCTCCTATGTCTCCCTTGTAATTTGAGAAAAACACAAGAAATGGGAGTTTGAATTGGGTTTTCAAAAACTTTTTCTTTATAAATGTATCACACAAACAATTAAGATGAACAAGTTAAGAAAGAAAAGTGACACAATCAGTTTATACAAGTTCACCTTAAACAAGGCTACTCTTGTCCACCCTTCAAGGTTATTTTGCCTTCAAAAAGGACTTAATCCACTAATCTTGAAATATTATAAGCAAATGTCTAAGATTTTAGAATAACATCTTATCCCTCTCAAGTAAACAGACTATCACCTAGTCACTTGAGGAAAACAAATCTCAAAATACTTACAATCAAAAGTGTTTACAATAATGCTTCTAGAAAAGCAGTTTTAACACTACAATGAAGAACAAATGTTTACACAAATATGAGCAACAACTATTTGTGTTTCTAATTTGACAACTAATGATTAACACAAATATGAGAAACAACTCTTGTGTTTTTTTGAGAATAAATGTTAACACAAATATGAGCAACAACTCTTTGTGTTTTCTCTTTGAAATAATATTTCTCACGTTGATTTCTTTGCACAATAACTCTTTTGTTGTTTCAATATTTTCTTCAAATTCGCCATCTTCTTCAATGAAAATGTTCCCTTTATATAGGCTAAGAGAGTAGATCGTTGGATAGTACAAAATATAACGTTTATTTGTCAGCTGCCAAAATGGTAGCATGAGATCGTGGGAGACAAATTCCTTTGGTCATACAATGTAATCTTCACCATAGTAGAATAGGTATTGTACGGTTGTACTACATCTTATTGTGCAAGTTTTCTTGATCTTATCTTCTAATGAAGTACTACCGATCTGAAGTAATAATGAAGAGTCTAGAAGAGATCACACTTTTGTTCTTTGTCTTCTGATATGAAGCAATTAATAGTTCAGAAGACATCTCATCATAATAGTGTTTCAATAGTATCCGAGTTTTCAGAGTCATAACCTTTTCTTCAGACTTGGTGCCAAAGCTTATCTTACAAATAACTCTTGATTTCTGAGCTGGAACCAAAAGCTTATCTGAGAAGCACATCTTGATTTCTGAGCTAGAAGCATAAACTTGATTTCTGAGCTTTGAAGCATAAGCTTGATTTCTGGGCTTTGAAGCATAAGCTTGATTTCTGAGCTGAAAGCATAAACTCGATTTCTGAGCTTTGAAGCATAAGCTTAATTTCTGAGCTGGAAGCATAAA